CAAAATGCAAATTAATAATGGATTTGACAAATAGGGAGTTGGAAAAATAAATTAATCATCTAATGATAAAATTTTCCAACTTTTATACTTGTGTAAAATAACAAGATTACATCTTCCAATATGAAGATTAATCAAAATTTACTCACAAGCATTTGAACTCCAAGGATTTTAATCAACCAAATATGAAAAATCCAAAATTAGTTCAGCATGGAATTTAGGGTTAAAGTTCCAATCAATTAAACATTTAAAGATTAGATCTTTAACATACTAGGAACTTAAAATTACATATTCACAAGTATTCACACATTAATGCAATTTATTTGCATAATTGTGAAAATCAAGTTTATGTGAAAAAGAACATATCAACTTAAGCACATATTATAACTCCATAATCATGCTTAAAAGATAATTAAATTGCAGTAGATTAGTGATGCAATAATGCATTTAATCTACCCTTGAAATGCTTGCATTAATCAAGGCTTAAAAGATTTAAAACTTTCGTCGAAAACGAAAAAACCCCAAAAAAATGGGTTTCTGATTCGAATTTGGCTTCTAGACAATCCTCAAGGAGAGTTGAATCTGACTCAGAATGTCGTTTCCACCCAAAAAACACTATTTTTGAGCAAAAATCTGGGTTCGACAGCCAAAACGAGAAAATTACGAGTTTTAAAATTAATTAAAACGAGCTTCTAACCCAATTAGAAAAGCAAAATTAGATTTTAAATCCACTTTAAAACACCTTAATTAATAAATAATTGCAATAATTATAAGGAGCGCAGCTCCGATACCGCTGTTGGGTTTCGTAGTGACCCTCACTACGCGGAATGAAACCCCCCAAGACCCGCCGCGATAACTAAAGCAATTCAAACAAGCATAAACATAATTAAGCAATAACTAAAAGGAGAGAGAAAGAAGTTATACCCTCGATGCGTGCTTTGCTCGCAAATCGAGCTCTTACAACGAAAGCTCGAGCGTCACTAGTGTGATCGCCTCCAACGGCTCGTACCCATGAACCCGACCCAAACGGTCCAAGTCCCGAAGGTTAGTCGGGACCCGACCAATAAAAACTTGGAGTTTTACGAACTTAGAGGTTTTTTCACCTAATGGGAGATGCCTCATTTAGTTCTACTCAAGTGGTTTTTCCCAAACCCAAAGCTAGGGTATTTATAGGGAAAGGAGACTTGATTCTCCCTTCTCCCATCAATGTGGGAGAATTGCATTTTCCTACTAATTTATTTTAATAAAAAACAATTAATAAACTATGCAATCAATGAGTTACAAGTGGCAAATGGAGGGAGAGTTTTTAGGTGAGGACCATTCCAAGAGGGGGGGACCATAGCCTTGGTGCCCAAGGCAATGGCCACCACCCTTGGTCCCCACACACACAACCGAATCCACATGCTGCTGGGACAGCTGGCTGTCAGCCAGCCTTGGCAGCCAAGGCAGCCTTGCTGGCGCCTGGCGCCTTGGCTGTGCTTGCAAGCCAGCACACATAGAGCAGCCAGCTAGCGAGCTCCCACCCATTGCCAGCGTGCGTGCTGCTAGCGAGCCACGCATGCTGGGCGCTGCATTGCTACGCACAGACACACAAGCGCACTGCAGCTTGGTGCTGTGCTAGCGATGCACGAGCATACGCACATGCAGCGATGGTGCTGTGCTATACCTTGCCTACTGCCAGCGCCCATCACATCCACACGCACATGCGATGGTGCGATGGTGCTTGGGCAGTGCTAGGCCTTGCCTAGCGCCAGTGCCCAGCACATCCACACGCATATGCGATGCTGCGATGGTGCTTAGGCGTATGGCCCTGCTAGCACGCATGTCCTAGCACGCCTAGCATGCTAGGCTTGCGTTGGACCTTGCCTAGCCTAATACTCACATGGCTAGGCCAATGCGAGGCTACGGCTAGGTTCGTACTTGTAACTCGATTGATTTTTTTGCATCTCGTCAAATTCTAAATTCGACTCGACTTGCGACGCTCGATCTCGACGCTCTAAGCTCGATATCCAACTTCTTTGTTCGTAAAACTCTGACGACTCATCATATCCTTTCGGATTGATTCGTCTTCTCGGATCGGTTGTTCGATTGGGTTCGACCCGAAGGGTTCAGTCAAGATTAAGCTGTAATATTAATTGAACATTAATATTACTGATCGGAAGCGGCCTCCACCTAGATATTCCGATCACTTGACCTTACTGAAGAATTAGCTTTCCGATAATTCTGAACCCTCTATCGGAATAATACACTTGTTAGAAGGACACCATTCCTTTCAGGGGCTTCTCTAGAAACCTGATTAAGTCTCCCCAAAACCCAAAACCAGTGATGAGTACATTTCACGTCTTTGATTATCGAGCTAGGTGAAGAGTTGAAGAGTCTCGTGAATTTCCCTTTAGCGTTGACCATTTGTGACATTTCCTTAAATGTTTTAAGTCAAAATAATTCATTACGTGTCTTCTTTATAAAACGTCCAAACCAGTCTATTTTGATCCATGATCTCGGTTCAATTATTCTGTAATTGAATTGGGCTTGACAAGAGCTTTCAAACGATATATTATAAGCCCAAATCCGACTTATAACAAAAAGTTATAGCCAAAATACTAAACCGAGCCTAAACTAAGCTTTACCCATGACCCAATGGCCATGTGGAGAGTCCATTAACCTTAATTCCGTTCCTAAACAAATTAGGATTTATTACAAGCTTCTAGAATCATCTAGAAGGTTGTTTTCAATCCTAAATCCATTAGGATTTTTTGAGCTTCTAGAATCCTCTAGAAGGTTCTAATTTATCCTGTTTTCCAAAAGATAAATATTTAAGAATTTTAAATCGGATAAAACATCTGTTTTTCAGTGATCATAATCCTGGTCAAATTAGAGTAAGTACGGAAATTTGATTAACCCAATCCAATTGGAAATCGGATTTCGTACGAATTCTATCTTTCCAAAACCATCGCTGAGCGACAGCATCATCGCGTTGCGACAAGTCTGTCGTGCCGTGATGGAACCTGTTTTACTTTGATTTGATTTTTGACTCTTTTCTGATCCTTCGACCCTCTTTTTTCCTTATAAATAGAGGTCGTTTCACCCCATTTTCAATTACCAACAATCATCATTTAATCCCTTCTCTAATACTTCCTCTCTCTCTTTATTCTTTTCTAAGCCTTAGCCTAAACACGTCCTAATAAACACATCCTTGATATTTTTCCCTAATCAAACACAATACCTCCATCACGAGCTTTGAATACTCGTGGTCAATCTCGAAGTTGCCTTCGACCTCGACGTGAAAGATTGCTAGTTCTGAGGGTTCGGTCCCAAATCTATATTTCAATTCTTTTTTGATTTCATCTTTCTTGAAGTTTACTAACATGTGTATTGTTTTGATAGAAAGAGATGCGAGGCATCAAAGTAAGTAATTCGATTACTTAATTGTTCTTTTGATAGAAATCATGCTTAGGATGTTGATTTTAATTCTTAGTATCACGTTAGTATGTTGATTTTGATTCATAGTATCATGTTTAGGGTGTTAGTTAATATTTATAATATGATGTTGATTTCTAGTATCATGTTTAGGCTAATGCTTTGATTATGATAATTAGTGACATGTTAGGATTTGTTATTAATCCGTTTAGTATCATGTCTAGGATCTTGCTAATCATGTTTTGTGGATTTCGATTATGATGATGATTGTTGTGTTAATTACATGTTGTTTGATTATTCATGATTGATTGTTATTGCTTGATCACGCCCCTTCTTGCAGGTTTAAAGGAAATTTGTACTTGAAATCACGCCTAATAAGATAATTAATAATTTGTTTTAGGCAAATATGATTTTAATTCAAGTGATCGTCAATAATAGATTTATTTGTGAATTAATAATCAACCAACATAGATTAAATATGCTTAGGGGTAATTTATTGTATGTATATTGATCGAAAAGCGCACATGAATATCGTAAGAATTAAGTAGAGGCCGATTTAGGGCGGGTTTAATCTCTTTTAGGTTGGATTTACCATCATCCCCGAATATCAAGTCATGGTTCCGGACCACTATGGAGTTAGCGATCTCCGTGATCGTGAATGGGGTGTAACCTTCACACCCGTGAACGGTTTACAAGTTCCTAAAACTTGTTGGCAACTCTTTTATCTCTAGCTTCCTTCCCTTTGTTCGTCACCATGCCTAAAAGCATGGTCACAGTGGGGCAAAAGGTTGATTTTGAAAAATTCTCTACACATCCCAAAGCACATTTTATACGTTAAATATCTATAATTATATAATAGTAAAAATTATAATAAGTCGTTATTGTGAAAGTATTTTACGAGACGAATCTAACAAGACCTCACATGACTACATTTTACTTTACGTATAAATCATAATTTGTGGTCAAACAAGCATGATGAATGGTGCAAAAGTCCAGTTGTTGCATCACTAAAACGGAGGAAGTATAAGGCTTGTCGTGCTGGAATTTAAACCAATGTATAGGGCAAAACATAAGTACATAATATTTCTCACTTCTAATGAAACTTGTCATGAACTTCACAACTTTTTATTGCATTCTTATGTTAAAATTGCCAACTTCTAGATTCATCATGTTACTAGAAAATAAAACAAGCATAAGACCATTCTCAGCAGTGAGGAAAAAAAAAACCTCTCAATCTCTCTCTACCCACTTTCTCACTCCTCCCATACAATTTCTCTCATCAAATGTTTTTTTCACCACAGCAATGAGGAGTAAAAAAACCTCTCATCACTTTCTCCTCCACTATTTTTTAATTTATTTTTTAATTACGTTTAAAAATAATTTAATAAAAATTTATAATTACGTTTAAAAATATTAATAATACTAACTAGAAATTTTTTTTATAAGAAATAATTATAATAATAATAATAACAAGAAGAAATTGGAAAAATATGTTAATTTCTCTAATTTATGGGTTTTTTTGAAAGTATATCAAAATGCATGTCTATTTATAGAGAAAAAAATTTTATGGTCGTTGGTGAATTTTTTTTTTTTTTTTAAAATAATTACAACGGTTATATTTCAAATACAAAATATAACCGTTGTAAAAAAACAACAAAAGCAGTGGGGGCCACATGTTACTGTTCATCACCAAAAGCCCTCAACTCTTGAGGGTTTTTATTTTCACTCATCGGTGAGTGTTTTTTCACTCACTGATGTAGTGTTCGGATTTTTTTTTTTACACCCTTATTTTTACTCGTGAGGGCTTTTCTCCTCACTGCTGGGAGTGCTCTAATCCTATGCCTTATTTTTTGACTTAATTATCAATTATAAATTTTATAATGCATTAGAAGTGAAGTTGAAGAAAGAACATCTCAACCGATCATAAATCAAGGAAGAACTAAATCCAAGCCTTGATTTAGCAAGATCAAATTGTAGCAAATTATCCTCAATTTGAAACCCTCCTACCAAAATCGACGTCCTCGGGTTTTTACCTCCATCTAATATACCAAGACAATACGCGTTATCACTAGCCCTAACAATGGAGTTAGTCGCGGCTATCCTCCAGAACACCTTCTTGCTTTGCAACACGAGGTCGATGTCCGGTACCACGGGTCCGATCCTCGTGTAACTTAACGAGGTAGGGTCGTAGCACAACTGGAACGGTTTAACCGGGGGAACTCTTTTAGCAGGAAAAGATGAGTTCCGTAGTTGTCCGTCGAAGGCGGCAGTGACCGCCTTATAGATAGAAGATTGTAAAAGAGTGTAAGGGTGATTGACACTTAACATGGTTCCACCGCTACCTTTACGATTTATAGATAGTAAGGACTTGTTAAGTGTTACATTTTTATTTCCGACTTTGATTCCTTGTACTCCTATGAAGTAGTTGTTGGGTCGGGCCGAGTTAGCGATGATAGGAGTGTAGGAAAGCAAGGTTGTGGCATCTACACCAGGGTAGAAATTGTAAGGCCCGTCCCCGATAAATACGACACCGTTTTCCCTAAGTGGAGGTAAGCACAACGCGAATTTTTGAGGGAGACGGAAAGATGAGGAAAGTTGAGTAGGTAGAGATGTTTTAGACCTCCCGAGACCAGCAACTCCGGACACTCCTTTCGCGAGGCCTTGTAACAAGGACATGGGCGCGCAAACGAAGAGGTTGTTGGGCATGGTGACGAGTTGGCCTGGGTTAGACCCGTCAGTGGAGTTGATACGGATAACATCGGTAGCTAGCTCGCCGCCTCTACGTGGAGAGACGTTGGTGAAGGGATTATTAAGGGAGAGAGTTCTACATGTGTTCTTATTGCACCCGGATTTAAAAGGAGTAGGACCGCACGTCCTACATCTTTTGGTGTTGGCAAGAATACAGGGAGGAGAGCCGCAGGAAGCGGGGCGGTACGTGGTGGAGACGTAACGGTTACCGCAAAGCACCCAAGAGATAGGTGTGCTTAGGTCTAGTGTTAATAGTACGGGTACGGGGGGAGTCCTTTGGATGACTTTGGTTGTGTATTGGAGTGTGGAGGGGTCTTTTGAGACGGTAAGGACTAACGTTTTATTAGGGTGAAAGGAGGTCAAGGCCGAGGCTGAGGTGGTTGTGAGGATAATGTAGGTGAGGAGGATAGAGCAAATGAAGGAAGCCATGTTAGAGGAGGTGGAATGTGATGAAGTATGAGAGTGTTATTCAAAAAGAGATGTCACAATTTAAAGAGTATTGGGAAATATAGATTAATGAAAAACAAGATTGCCTGGTTGGTGGTATTAAGTCAATTGGTGTTATTTTAGCATACAAAAAAACCAAGTTGTTAGATAGAAATTGGAGAATTAGAGAGGTTCCAGCTAATGAAAGTTGACATTGTTAAATAAAGTGTAACAAAAATTGAGAATAGTATGGGAAACATAAACCTGCAAAACGGATCTAATTTGGCAGTTGCAAGCAAGAGTAGTGTAGTTGCTCTATTTTAACATTGTAGTTTTGTAGCGTATAGATCATGCAAGGACATGTTGCTTTTTATTTATTTATTTTAATGTTCCAAGTTTGGAAAATGTAGAACTTAAAATTAAGTGAAGTACTCTGTAGAAAATAATTGAGAAATAGAGCAAGAGCAAGAGCAAGAAAACGAAGTATAGGGACTCTACATCTATGAGGCTTTGACAATGTACGACAAAGTAAGTAAACTCTAAATGTTTCCATTTCCTTTATGGCAAGTAAAAGGTCTTTCATCATTCGATGGTAAGAAAACTTTCAATCAAGCTATTAGGGTTGGTCATATTAGATGCTTTATCCGTTCTTTTTTAGTGTAATACATAAATATATCGATTAAGATAAGTGTAACAATCATAAAAAATCGAAAGGAACAACTAAAGTAAAATCGTAGATGGAGTGTACAAAAGAAACATTGCATAGTTTGCATAAGCCTATTACTTGTTAAGTTAATTTTTGGATAATGCTATATGTAACCCTTAGAGCTAAGGATAAACATTTAATATCTTTTCTAATTCGGTACATGACATAGTCACGCACAAATCAGTGTAATTAATATTACATTTTTATTTGTTTTTTTTTCATTTTTACCTCCTTTTATGTAGTCATAGGGCTATGTATTTCATTTTCATTGATTTAGTTTCTTTAATTTTCTTTTCTTCATCAATTTTGCCTTTCAATGATAACTTCATCAAACATCAATCATGATCAATGACCTTTTCACTTTCGGTCCACCTCCCCATCGCCTCTTAAATAAGCTTTTACCACTCATCATCCTTAAATGTATTCACCCTTTTCTTACATTAACATACCTTTTTTATTTTCCTTACATTAACATACCAATTCATGCTTTTTATCTTACTTTATTCAATCTAGATCTTATACACCAATTCTTTTTTTCAAAACTTTCTTAAATCACATAATTGTAGTACGAATTAGAGTAGAGTTCAACAAAATTTACTCTCTTTTTTTCGTCACCATAATCATTTCGTCGGATGTGTGACATACTAACATACGTATGTGGAGGAATAAATTCAATTCGATAGTTGGATACACTCTATAACAACAAACACGTAAAGGGTAAGACAGCCTTTTATTATGGTTAGGTGAGGAATCATCCATGCAAGAATAATTATTGCCGACTTCCACACATACCATGTGAATTATTGATGAGTACAGATAAACATTAACGATTAGTATGAGTATGTACCAGTCTCGTACTAGTCACTATAAGTGGCTAGTAATTTATTGATCAAATAGTCATCATTGTTGCTTTTGCGCATTTTTGACTTATACAATATTCATACTACGGAATTAAATTTAAACTCGGAGCATCTAATTCAATCAGGAACCAAAGAAGTGGTAAACCCAAGCCTAGACTTAGCTAAATCAAATAGCACCAACACATCTTCCAATTGATACGCTCCTACAATAATTGATGCCCTTGGATTACTTCCACCATCTACAAAACCAAGACAATAGGCGCTCGTATTCGTGCCCAAGCTGCTGTACACTAGTGAGTTCGTGGCTTGCATTTGCCAAACCACCCCATTAGGCAACACTAGGTTGATGTCCGGTACAGTAGGCCCGATTTTCGTGTATGGTAACGTGTAAGGATCGTAGCACGCCTCGAATGGTGCGATAGGAAAAACTCTTTTAGCCTTATAATTTGTCTTGAGTAGGTTATCATATTTGGTTATCAAAGCGTTGTAAATAGTCGTTTCCTAAGGATGAATAGCACTTAGCATGGTTCCACCGTTTCCTTTGCTATCTATAGAAAGTAAGAACTTGTTAATTGGTACGCCTACTTGTGATATTCTGAGTGCCGAAACTCCGATGTAATACTCGGAGGGTCGGACCGGGTTTCTGACTAGATGAGTGTACGAAGGTAGGGTTACTTCGACATCTATATCAGAGGCGAAGTTATAAGGCTCGTCCCCGAATATAAGGGCACCGTCTTCCGAAGGGAATGAAGATAGGCAAAGAGCAAATTTTCAAGAGGAACCGAAAGTGGAGGCGAGTTGAGAAGGCAGGGACACATTAGTCCTTCCAAGACCAGAAATTCCGGACACTCCTTTCGCTAGGCCTTGTAACAAGGATATGGGTGATTAAACAAAGAGATAGTCGGGCACAGTCACTGGTTTACCCATGTTTGATCCGTTTATCGAGTTGATACTGATAACATCAATAGCTACCTCGCCGCCCGAGGGCGGGTAGATGTTTGTTACAGGGTTGTTTAGGGAGGAGGTACTGCATGTGTTGTTAGTCTTACAAATTTTCGCGTTGGCGAGAGTGCATTGAGGAGAGCCACAAGAAACAGGGCGGTACGTAGAGGAGACATAGCGTTTCCCGCAGCTAACCCATATGAATGGAGTACCAAGGTCGAGCGTTAAGGGTACGGTTACTGGAGGTGTTTTTTGGAGGACTTTGGTTGTGAGTTGAAGGGTGGACGGTTCCCTTGAGACCGGGAGGGCTATCGATTTGGGACGGCAGGAAACGGCCGAGGAGGTGGTGGTGGTGGAGGTGTAATGGATGAGGAGAAAAGAGAAAATGAGAATGTGGTGATCGTAGCAGGAAGCCATGTTAAGTTAATTAAAGAGGCAATGCAATGAGATACTTCGTATAAATGTATGAGAAAGTTGAAAAAAATGGTCCTTTTTTAGGGTGTTGGAAAATGGCAATTGCATCAAAACTTCAATTATTGCACGAATGCTATCTACTCCGTAATTCGTTTTGTATTGCTATCAAGAGGTGGGGCTGCCATATTCATGACCTTGTGAATTACTCCATTTGAGTATGTTTTTTTTTTTTAAATGCGTGAAGTTTTAAGTGGTTGAGTTAATCGATTATGTTACTCCGTACAAAGTGTACGAATGCAAAATTTGTTTTACATTAATAAAAGGAAAAATTGAACACATGGGTTCTAACTATAGACATTTTTTTAGGAAAATGCTATACATAGCCCTAAGGGCTACATATAAGCATTTAATTTACTCTTGAAAATTGTTTAAATTTAGAAAATCATGACAAAAACACACTAATTACACTGATTTGCACGTATTTTTGTCATGAATTCCTAACTTTATACATTTTCCAAGAGTAAATTCAATGCTTATATATAGCCATAAGGGCTATGTATAGCATTACCCTTTTTTTAAACAGATTCCTACTATCTTCTAAATCATGGTATTCCTAACTTTAAGAGGATCTTTCTTAAAACAGTCTATAATTTATTATGACCGGATTAATAGGCTAAAATTGCAAGGTGTTGAATATTTGCTGGTCCATTTTACCGAATATTACTTCCTCCGTTCTTTTTTACTTGACCTGTTTCATCTATCACACTTACCAATGCAGAACTTTAACGATTAATAAATTTAATTCTCCATAGGTAAAAATTATAAAAGTTACATATTATGATAGTACTTTTTGAGACGAATTTAACAAGATCCCATATGAATATTCCTTACATAAAATTCACAAAAGACGGTCAAAGAAGGGGTGCTGAATAGGGTAAACAAAGCGGGTCAAGTAAAAAAGAATGGAGGAAGTATTGTTTTAGGGTGAAGAGAGAACAAGATCTAAATAGAGGGGGTGGGTGTTTAGAATGGTGGAGGATTAATGTTTCGACGGAAATAAAATCCGTCGGAATTTAATTAAATAATAAAAAAAAACAAACTTAAAAAACCCTTAAAAAATCGGTTACTCTCATTTCCGCCTTTCTATTCTTCTCTTCCCTTGCTCTCTCCTCTCTTCTTCTTTCCTCTCAGACTTCTCACTCTACTCCTCTCTGTTCCTCTTCTCTTCTCCTCCCTTTCTCTCTCCTCTTCTCAGTCTAAATTCCTCTCCTTTCCTCTTCTCTTCTCCAATCTTTCACTCTCCTCTTCGGTCTGTTCTCCCCTTTCACTCTCCTCTTTGATCTCCTAGCCACCATCAACGAAAATCATCAACGAAGACCCAAGATCATCGTCAACACCGAGATCAACGCCAACACCGATATCAACAACAACCACCAACACCGCACAACAACGACACTACAAAAGCCTCCGTCGCAACAACACGGTTTTATTTTCTTAGATTGTAGATCTAGCCTTTTTTTTCCTTTTAAATTCTGATTTTGGTTAATTGTTGATGTCATTGTAATGTTAATGTGTAAATTTTGTTAAATAATTGTATAATTATATATTTCTTTGAATTAATTTGGGTAATTTTCGTTGTTTTTTTATGATAATTTTCGTTTTTTTTTTTTGGAATTTTTTTTCTTTTTTGTTAAATTCCGGTGGTGGTTTCGATTTTTTTGTGGTTTTTTTCGGTTTTATTGTGTTAATTTTCGTATTTTTGGACTCATTTGTGTTTTTTTGGGGTTAATTTTATATTTTTATGTGGTTAAATTCTGGTGAGGTGGTGTCGGTGGTGGTGTGTGAGGTGGTGTGTGGGTGGTTTCGATGGTGGTTGTTGGTGAATCAAGGTTAGGGGCTGGTGTGGGTGGTTTCGGTGGTGGTGTGTGGGTGGTTTCAGTGGTGGTGCGTGGTTGGTGAATCTGGGTTAGGCTTCGGTGGTGGTGGGTGGTGGCTAAGGGTTAAGGAGGAGGGTAGTGGTGGATGAGTAAGGGTAAGGGTTAGGTGTAGCGGTGGGTGGATGAGGGTGGTTGGGGCTGGTGGGGTGGTGCCTGTTTTTTTTATTATTTTTTTTGCAGGAGTTTCCGACGGAATTTCCGTCAGAATTTTCCGGCGGATTTGAATTCCATCGGAAATTTCCGACGGACTTTCCGGTATCGGAAAACCGCATCCGACGAAAAAATTCCGTTGGAAGTCGGAAAACACTATTCCGACGGAAATGGTCGTTTTTCCTACAAAGGGTCTTCCGACAACACGTTTCGACGGAATTTCCGTCGGAATAGTGTTTTCCGACGGAATTCAGGGTGTTTCCGACGGAATTTTTCCATCGAAAATGACCTATTTTCTAGTAGTGCAAATCGATTAAAAATATGTTTAATTCCGTTT